GGAGCGGGATCCGAAGTTGATGAAGGCTGGGGAGCAATGTTGCTTGCTTTTACCTTAGGCGTTGATTTGGCCTTTGGCATCCAAATTTGTTTGGATCTCGGCGATCTCTTAACCGCCTCTTCCTTTTGTATTTCTTGTGCTTTTCGCACAAGGATCTGGGCATGCGCAAGAAGTGCCAACGCTTCTGAATGCGCTCCTCAAGAGTGGAACTGTTCCGTTTGACACGAAGCTATTCATTAGTAGGTAGTTGGGAGGAGGTTCACGAAGCTTGCTGTGGAGATGGCTTAGCCACTTGGCGCTTTCTGAACTCCAGATCCGCTTGGTAACGGAGTCCGTCCACTTGATCTAAAGCCTTGACGAATTAGCGCGTGAGGCGTTGGTGTTGCCTTTGACATGATCTCTTTGATAGAGTTGGCGTGTCTTCAGCAGTCGACTCCTTGATCGAAGAGGAGTTTAGATCTGCAGATCTGGCTTCATTGGACGCTGGCGGATCGTTATGAGGTGTATCTGCAACAGCGATAGCGGGGAGATCACCTTCTTGAGTCCTTAGATCTAAAGACCAGCGGATCTTCCGGGAGGAGGAGACCTTCCTGCGCTTGCGAGGAGAGGCGGACATGGAGGGGGAGGAGGAGGAGACGTACTCCTCGAACTTCTGTTGGTCGAACTCGTATTCGACCTCTTCAGCCACGAGGATCTTGATCGTCGGCTGCGGCACGACAGCCTCGATGACGAGACTGTTAGCTCCCACTGTGGTCGCCAGCTTGTTTGAGGAGAAAGTTGATGTATTTATTACGGTGTTCATTACAACTTTAAACGTTATAATGAAAATAAAAGTTAGTCTTTTTATAAGACCTTTACACAATGAAAACAAAAAAAATTATAACTCTCGTCAAACAGCGTAACTGGTGTTTATCGTCTGCTGCTTGCGTGAGATCTTGGCCTGTGACGGGAACGTTAGTATCCGTGGACCACCAAACGATCAGATCAGATCCGGAGTTTCATTGATTCGCGAAGGAATCAAGAAACCGAAGCAATTATCTCGGCAACAGCGAGATAATCACTCTTCTCGAGATCACCGCAACGGGGCAATCTCAAGGCAAAGAACCGGGCTGCAGATCTGACGAACTCCTCTTCTTTATGCTGAAGAATTCGCTGAAGTCTCCTCCTCCTCTCTGAAATTCGTGGCTCTTTAGTCCTCAATTCAGCAGGGCTTCGCCAACGCTCGAGAATTCCAGATCCTCAAAAAAATAAAGATCCTGGGGCTATATTTATAGGCTTCGGGACCCCTGTTTTCGGATAAGAACAGTCGATTCCCCTTATCCTCGGTTGTAACCACTTAACCACGTTTATGGATGATATTTTATAACTTGGAGCAAATCCAGACGGTTAACGGTCGAAAAACGGCTCAAAACAGCTAAAAATAGCATTTTTGGGTCTGCGGACACTCGTGGGCATCTCGGCCCGAGACACCTCTTGGTGTCTCGGCCAAGCTTTGGCTTTAAGAATTCCGTCCGTTTCCGTTGAATTTTCGTCATCCGAAGTCGGAATCACGCGATTCAAAATGCGTCAGAAAACCAACAAGGAGATCTACAAGCTCCCATGATTGAATCATATGTGGAATGAATGGGACACGAGGGGCGCTTCATCTTTCGTAAGCGACGTGCAGCTCGCGGTCCATTCGTGTTTCCGTTGTTTTGAAACTCCGTTGCTTCGTATGGTCCGTCGACTCACCTCATGCGTTTATCGTCGTCAAATGAGCTTCTGTGACTCAAATAGCGACGTTCATCGTCTTCTCTCTTGTCTCGAGCTGCGTGCGGGGACCTACATGTATTTTTTAACGCCTACAATTATATATCCATATACCAAATTAAACTCTTGGAGTTTTTCCTCACCAACTACACCATTGATTAACTCTTCTTTTTTCCTTTGTACTTAAAGGCCCTATTTAGCAAAGGGTTAAGGAAGAGGGGTTAAAGAGAAAGATTAATATACTTAGCTCATTCGATAATCTAAGGTACCGTTTGGCAAAGGGTTAAGTGAGGGGTTAAGGAGACTTAACCCCTTAATAACCCGCCAAACACAAAAAATCTATACAATGGTTAAAGTAAGTTAACCCTTTATAATTTGTCAAACATAAAAAATATAGAAGGGTTAAGCTAACCCCTCTAGAGGGGTTAGCTTAACCCCTCAAAATAAGGGGTTTACTAATACTCCTATTTAGAAGGATTAAGAGTTAACCCTTCTAATTATAAAAAAATAGTCAAAATCATTGTTATTCCCAAACACTAAAATTGATCACAATGGCTAAAATAAAACTTATTTAACGGGTTAATAATTTAGTCCTTTAGGCCTCGTTTGGCAAAGAGTCAAGGAAGAGGAGTTAAGTACATTAATCATTTTATTTAACTCCTCTTCCTTAACTCTTTGCCAAACGAGGCCTAAAGGACTAAATTATTAACCCGTTAAATAAGTTTTATTTTAGCCATTGTGATCAGTTTTAGTGTTTGGGAATAACAATAATTTTGACTATTTTCTTTATAATTAGAATGGTTAACTCTTAATCCTTCTAAATAGAAGTATTAGAAAACCCCTCATTTTGAGGGGTTAACTCATTTTAATCCCTCTAGAGGGGTTAAATTAACCCTTCTATATTTTTTATATTTGGCAAATTATGGAGGGTTAACTCACTTTAACCCTTGTATAGATTTTTTGTGTTTGGCGGATTAAGAATGTGTTAAGTCTCCTTAACCCCTGACTTAACCCTTTGTCAAACAGTACCTAAGTGTATAACATTCATTGCGATGAGGACTCACATGGGTCCTTTGTCTGCCTTGAACGTCTAACAAAAAAAAATAATGCACTAAGCATTGTAGTTAATTAATAATGAGATCCTATCATTATAAACAAACTAAGTAAAGATTAATAATTCTTAAGAATGTACTACGTTCTCCTATTTTTCACTACAAACTTGTTAGTTGTTTATTCCTGACTCCAAGAAATTTTTAAAATTAATCATCTATTTCATATTTGTTTAAAATGTTTAAATAGAACTTATGGTAATGATCCATGTTTATAGTTTTTAACTCAAAATGAATCTGATTTATTTTATAGTAAGAAAATTAAAAAAATAATTTTGATATTTAACCAGGTACAAATCCACAAGAACTAGTTAGGCAAAAAAGCATGAGCTTATATAAAAGAAATGTACGAGACATGGAAATCACCACTATGTTTACTCTTGTTTACTATTGTTTTACTTATAAGTTACTCGGTTTTCTCCTGGTTCAAAGCACCGAGACATTACTGACCAAACTTGCAAACATGTACTTTTTTTTTGGGTACTCCCAAAACCTACCACAAAACATTTTAATGCGAATTTTGCGCTGGCTTGTCCTCACTCCACAAAATATGCCTCCACCTTCAGCTCAGAATGCCATGCAACCAAACAACAACCGCAATCGACACCTTGCAGCTAGCGCTCACACTTTTTACTCTCTCTCTCTCTCTCTCTGGACCCACAGTATTCAGTCTGAGCGAAACAAACCAACTCTCAGCCGTTTCTTCCCCTTCACGTTTCTATGACAAAGCCAAAGGTTCCACAAAACTGCTTCCACTCAACACAAAACCAATGGAGAGCAGACTCACCGCCATAAGCAACCCCGGCGAGCAGGCGGAGCTCGACTCTCGCACCTCGCCTCCATCGCCTTCGCTCCGTCTCGCGCCGCCTCTGTCTCGTCTCATCCTCCTCTACTGCAACAACCAGTGCGCAGCAGGGCAGGGCGGATGCTCTGGAGGCTTTCCGTGCGAAACGGAAGCGGGCGTGTGCCCTCCGCTCGCTTGGCCCCCGAAACGGTGAGCTATAAAAGGGAGGAGGAGGAGGAGGCGACGAGGGGCTGCGTCGTGTGCTTGAGCGAGTTCGAGGACATGGAGGTCGTGAAGGTGATACCGGGCTGCGGGCACGTGTTCCACCCGGAGTGCATTGACCGGTGGATCACCAAGAACCGGTCGTGCCCGGTTTGCCGGTGCTCCGAGATGTTCGTCAGAGGTGAAGTGGAAGAGGAGGGAGGGGATCATCAGGACAACAATCAGGAAGGGTTGGTGATCAGGTTGGAGAGGAGTAGGAGTTGGTGCTGTAGAGAGGTTGGGTTTGGCGGAGAGATCAGGGTGGGGATGCGCCGCACGTGCAGCTTTTGAGGTATGTTGGACGAAAGACGGCGGCTCATGAAAGCAACACCGACGAAGAGGTAGAGGTACCCCATCAACGAGCATTGCCTCCAAACTCGTGTGGTTGAAAATAACGCTGTGTAAATTTTAGCGTGGACTCTTAATTTTGTGCATTTCATCATGTTATGAAAACACAAGGGTCCACAATCTGAAGTAGAGTATTTTATCTTCTATTTCATATATAATTTCTTGGTACATTTAATTCGTGTGCTCACTACAATGAACAGAAGCATCACTAAAAAAAACCCATTTCAAAAGTTATTTTCCCTCTAAACTGGGAATACAACCGATAAATGGAAGTATATGACAACAGTACAGTACAATGATAGACGGAAAATTTTGCTGAAGCATACGAAACGTCGAAATGACTAGAAAAAAGATTGAAGAAAACGTCTATGATAATAGAGACAAGAAGAGAGGTTGGCTCAAGAACTATTAGTAATGTTGCTGTTTATGTCAAGAAAACAACCAGTAGAGGTGGAAATTGGCAAGGATGTACTTCAAGTCTACAGAATTACATAGAATTTTGATGGATCCAACAAGAGAGGACACAGCAGAGTCGGCTTCCATCAATGTGAGTCGAGTAGAAGAAACCACACTAGAAAATGCAAAAGGATATGGCACCGTTTCAAGGATGCTTCATGCGTTCAGCAAATATATTTCTGATCTGATACATGAACGTAATTTGAAAAATAAATTCCCTTTAAAAAAAAAAGAAAGGGTAACAAGGTGACCTAGCTAGGTTGACACCATCATCAGATATATCCGAAGAAATATTTCAATTAAGAAGCTTTTTATTAGGGAATTAATGAAACAAGAAAGTTACATTATGTCAGTCCCCATCACAAACATTTTAACGGCCCTAAAGAAAGAAACAATTAGAACGCCAGAGGTAAAAGAACCACCGGCCAATTATAAACAGAGGCTGGATGGCCTAAACAAAGCAATTCCTGCCAACAAAAAATTAAGGCCCCTCTCAGATCAACCCCCTATATTTTTCTACCTAAAGCAATTTTAGTCCTTTTTTACAATATAGAGTAGGCTCGGATAACCTCAACGATGGGTGCACGGCACAAAGGGCACTTGCCTCCACCTCGAACCATCTCGTTAGCACATTTTGAGCACGTGCACATATGCCCGCACCTGGTGATAAAAAGAAAGGGAAGGAGAATAAAAGTCTGATCATATAAAATGTGGTCAAATATACGGAGTTTTTTTCCCCCATATATACACCTCTTAGATATAGTGAGTAAAAAATTTGACCATTTTGTTGATATTTTTACACTGCAACAACAAATTAGCCTACAACAGTAGATGATTTGTTGATTTTTGGGGGCATTTCTTTACCAAAGTTGATTTGGGGGGTGATTTTGCAAACATTGAGATTTGGGAGGGTAGTCTTGTGAATATGCAGGCATATAGTGAATATATACAGAAGACCGGATATACAAACCTGTACAGAAGAGAATCAATCTGATTGTCACAGCAGATGCAACAAGTCCCTTTTCTCACATTTCCCCATTTAGATCCATCCTCTGATGTCTCTTCACCCGTCCCTGAAACAAAAGAGTCACGTTTTAGCGCTAGGTGACTAATTGGACTGGTTTTGTGTTAACTTGTGCAAAATATTCTCCTTGAGATATCTGGAACTTAGTCATACACACAAATGCTTTAGAAAACAGGCATGCAAGTGCACAAAGCAGTTTGCTAAACAACAGCTCAGGTTGGTCAAACTGAGAAGGGCTAAAGTGACAATATTGAAACCTTATGAAATGCAATCAGTAATAAACTGACAGAACAACGAACATTATGATTTTCATTGAGGCTAGAGATAATTAAAATATTTGACTGAGGATAAAGCTGTGATTAATAAGTATCTAAGGTGGTCTGGAAGATAAACTTGGAGACATCAAACATGAAGAAGGAAACAGTGGCAAAGCTGGTTGTTACCTTGCAAAGAACAACAATGATTGTGAGCAAAGCTTAGCTTGTATTTCAATCTTTTTACTACATTAGACATTTGGATTCTCAGAACTCTAAGACACTCAGAAAACTTCAGGACTCTTGAACAAAACATCAACTCGTGACATCGAGATGATATTACCCCTCCACTTTAGTGCTGTTGCATACACATTTGTATAAATAGCCATGCCTTATATCAAAAGTTTTGGAAGGCTAACATGCAGGATAGCTACACATTAAATAATTTACCACCCATCTAATGTCCAGCTATTATTAATCATCAGCCTAACTTTGAAAAACATTGAAAAGCCTAAGGCAGTTCACCTTGTATTATGCTACATATCTGGCAATTTTTTATTAAACAAAATGAAACTTTGTTAATGGACGTGGATTAACAATAAGTGTCACTTCTTTGGTCTGTTTCCATAATTCCATAACTCTTGGAGGCCGTCCACAGGGATTTCTATATGTTCATAAAAATACCAACTGACACATTTTCCGTTTGTACCCAGAGCAGTTCTGTGAACACCAAAAGGAGACTAATTCAATTGAAACAAGCAAGGGAACATGAATCGCCCATGAAAATAGCCCAACACTGAGGCTCCTTCACAAGAATAGGCATTCACAGTTTTACCTAAATACGTAGTAGTGCTTATCTTGATATCCTAATAAAAGATGAACTAACCTTTCCCTCCCGCAGAACGATTTAATGCTGCAGACACTTCTTGTCTAACTGATCGCTGCAATTCTAGTTGCATATCCATGCATGCCTCCAACATTCTCTGCATGTGACTCATCCCTTGCTGAAGCCTAGCCATATCAGCCCTTAAATCATTGATAATGTCCCATTCCTGTACAGTGTAACATAAATTTCAGTATTTTAAAGAGACAAGTACAACACACAAGAAATAGAATCTGAATCCTGAAACCATGAGAACCATTCGACTGTAAAGATGAAGCAAATAAACCTTGTAACTAAACAGGTTAAAGACAGGTAATTATCCTGTTGATTAAAATCCAAACACAGAAAGAAAGTATGATCAACTAAAACAAAAGGGACATCTATATGGGTACTAATTTAAGAACTGCATATCTACAAGAATAACTAAAGGACTGTCAAAAAGCCTAAATTAGACAACAACATACTCCAAAATGTCGTGAATCATGTTTTAAACCCTGAACTATTAAAATAATTCTCCTGATCTTGTCTAACATATTCAGGGTTCATTTTGAGATAATATCCAAAGGGGGTGCTTTATGCTAACAAACTTGAGTGCAGATCAAATTTATAGATGATGAAACTTACAATGTCTGAACGAGGAATGCTTTGACGAGTCCAATTATTAGGATGCAGCCCTGAGTTCCACAATGGTTGTGGGGGCGGCACAGGTGGAGAAGGAAGAACAAGCGGAGGCCTTGGAACCCCTTGCTGATCCTGGTTAAGAGGATCTCCTCTAAAGACCTGATCTTCCTCTGGGGAAGCAGGAGAGGGCAATGGTCTTTGCAAATCCCAATCAAAAGGAGCACGACCCTGTCGTTGAACATAAGACTGTATCAACTGGTCCAAGCTTTCTCGAAACCCACTGCGAAGAAGATTAGAAACACTTCTCCTGCAAAATAAGTTCAGGTTTTTCAACATATGCACTTATGCAGTAAGAAAAAGGGATGTCAAATAAAAAAAGCAATATCCCCCTTCAAAATGACAGCTAGTACCTGCTTAAGAGTTCCCTGAGTTCCATACTGTACACATTATCATCGTCAGGTGGAATAAATCTATTGACTCTTCTGAGCGGAATAGATCGCTGGTCTCTTGAAGGATCTGAAGGTCCATCTTCCCAGTTTTCGACATCCTCATGAGAGTTATCCTCATGCCAATCCTCATTTGCTTCTAAGATATGACTATCTTCTCCATCTTCGACTTCTGGTGCGGCCCATTCATGATCAATATTCTCCTGCCAGTTTCCATCAGATTCTTCTTCAGTCACATCAGGCCATTCACTAAACCCAATTTCATTAGCTGTCTGTTGCCAGTCATTTTCTTCATGTATGGTAGCTTCTTCCTGCCAATTTTCACCTTGAGTGCTCGAATCCTGCCAATCTGTGATAACATTAGATATGCTGCCTTCTAATTCAACTGTTGCTTCCTCTGTCATTTGGTGAATATCATTATTCTCTGTCCTAGTTACATGCTGCACATGGTTCTCATTTGATGGTTCAACTGCTGTACTTGACTGAGCTTCCTCGTGTCTGGAACCACTAAGATTACTTCTGACTGAAGTATCATGTTGGTAATTTGCTTGATCACGAACAATACTCTCCAATCTGAAGCGAAATCCCTCCCTACTTGTCAGGAAATGTATTATGGTAACTTAACATATTTTAGCCAGAGCCATTACCACTTACCAGAGAGGAAACTAAAGCAATAAAAATACGAGTTGGGGCACACAGCATTGAGTAAACTTAGATAAGCAGACTAGAGTATAGAGTATGAATCTCTTTCACTCTAAACTCAAAAATGAATTACAGGTAGAATGGATAACATCTCTAACAGTTTAGCTCCTACAACTACAAGGAGGGCTAACTTCAGGTAGAAACCTGGTGAAAGTTTTGCGAAGTTTTTGTGCATGTCTGTTTTCCACAGCCCACCACTTTTATTAAGGGAAAGCGCAAATGTGATATCAATGATGTGATGAGGTCAACAATGTCAAACAAGTTTGCAGATGACAAGATGTTAACAAAATAAAAGAAAAATGAAAATATGGTAACCACATGATATAAGTGGGAATATGAGTAATTATAAATTGATCTTATAACAAAAATACAACCGGACTTGATAAGGAAGAGTGGCAAATAAATAAATAAATAAATAAATCTAAAACTCGAACGATAGGATTGCAAAAAAAATTAACTTTAATTATAGTTCACTGCACAAAGCCAATATAGTATTATTACACAGTGCATTTGATAAATGTTGCAACACATTTTAAATCGGATTGCAAGACAGGCAATAAAGATTGATTGCTTGTGTAGGATTAAGAAACATGCTGTCATTCTGCTTAAATCAGATTACAGCATGTTACTAGTTGGGGAACATTCAAGATTAACAAGCATGAAATTGAAACATCTATCACATTTCTCATTATTAGTAACACATGGTTTCTAGTTATATACACTAGAGAACAAACACTCATCTCTAATGGACTTAAATATCACAATTTTTCATTCTAATAAACAAACAATAATCCACTGATTTATATATAAAGATCCATTACAGACCTTCACCATGTATAAAAGAGTTGTTTATTCTTTGCTAGCTTAAGAGCATACATTGCATACTTAGTGAAGACACCATTTATCTTCTATGCAATGACAAAACAGTACAAGAATATCAAATGGCATTAGCTTGATTAATTATTAGTTATTCGAGTTACAAGAATAAGATAACAGTCCACTATGGGTCTCTTACTGTGCATTGTACAACACAGATCAAGTAACCTTACAGATAAATAGTTGTCATAAACGGAGTACTCACTGGCCTTTGTGAGGTAAGGAAAGAAATGGAAATTATCAACTCTATATAACACAATGTAAGCACGCAACCTTCTTGAGTCAGCATCAACAACTTATCTAGACTGCCCAGAATATAGAGTAGTTTTTTAAGTGGATTAAGGAAATTTTGCCGCAAAATGCAGGAGCACATATCAATAGGTGAATGGCTTGATAAATATCTACTTTTCTTCCTCCAAACAAAAGTAGAAAGAAGAGTAACAGTTCTCTCTCTAACTTTCCTCCATGGGGGAAAGTTATCTATTTGATGTATACACCCAGATAAGATTTGGAAAATCTAGTTCTAATTTTCTTTTTCTTTGTAGTTTTTAAGATTTCACCAGTCAAATATAAGAAGTAGAGATGTTTACGTCTACTGTCTACAAATTCTTCTTTTCTCCTCAAACATCAACTGAGCTAAAAGCCCCTAAACCTATACTACCCCACCAAAAAGGAAAAAGAAAGGAAAAGAGAAAAAAAATGCAGACACACACATACACATGTGGGGCACATCAACCCAATCTTTGTTTTCAGTTTTCATTCTTATCTAAAATATTGTATGTTCTAACTTCTAAGTTACCCATACTATTATTTTGGTAATCTGACAAACTACCATTTGCATGGATGAATGGGAGAGATCAAAATATTTTCATGTGCAGACTTTGGCGCAGTATGACTCTGAATGTCAAATAGAGGAAACATCTGGTAACTATGAAGTTAACCAGTAAGTAGTGGTGTCCATGTTAATTGTTAGATAACCAGACAAAATGATTCTTTACATCAGCACATCCATAGAGTTTTAGCCTGTTTCAAGTAACGAAACATTAAAAAAAAATCCATGGGTCAACTCGAAATTGTTTCCTTCATGAAAGAAATTTCAGCTGATATCTGAATTAGCATCCCTATTTTCTGAGTTTTGAATGTTATCGACTTTGGTGACTAATGAATGATAGAATATCACTCTATCCAAATTTCAGGTGTGCACTATTATGCATTTGAAAAGAAAGTATCACACTAGTACATCTATTAGCACATCATGAACAAAAGAAAACCAAAAAACATTATAAACTCTGATATAAATTTAATAAAAATAATCTAAAAGTTTTTCCTCCATTTTAATATAAAAAAACTGTCACTTATGTTTGGAGAAAGAGCTCCGCTATTTTCTATCGAATGACAATTCCCAGATTGAGGGATGTAGCAAAGCAAAAGGCATAACACACAAATTAAAATTAGGAACTTGCATTTTAATGAAATTTATAGAAAAGACAATGAGACACTAGGAAAACCCATACCTCAAAGCAGAGACCGGTTGTCGTTGTCTTAGCTGACCTAATTCTCTTGCTGCCAATGAAGGTGCCCTCTCTTCTTCAACAGGTCTTCCATTTCTTAAAAATCTTCCTCTGAGCAATGACTGGAAGATGATATTTGATCAGATCCTTGGACAAGTCACAGAAAATATAATCTGAAAAAGATTCTAAGCTAAAAGCAACCCATAGAGTCTAAGACCCTTGGGAGTACAATGGAATAAGAATAAAGAAATGACACTCATTACACTTATATGAATGGTAACCTAATTAGTAATTTGCCTCATCAATAACACTGATAAACTTTGTCAACCATGACCAGTTACAATACATTTTGCTGTTGTCCCTGCATCAGTGGGCATTATGTCAACGGTCATGGGCATTCCTACATGAGTACTGCACTACTGCTTTGTGATGGATATCAGTATACTCACTTGGTGTTTATGAACTGGTTAAAGCAATGTTTTAAGCAGATGAGAGTCCAATGTAAAGACAATTATCAAGTGTCAACATGCTAGCTGATGTGTAGAAGACTAGTGCAGAGTACAAGGTTTGAAGGAGTCAAGACATACATCAATATTTCAGTTAAAAAAAATAAAACTAAAAATTATAGGCTAAAAGCAGAAGTGATCCATTCTGAAAGGTCAAAAGAAAGTCCTTTCAGAATTTTTGTGATGCACCTAGAGATTAATTAACATGATAGCTGACATACATAAGACATGACAATACAAGGTTGAAAGCAGTAAAAATGAAATCATCATTAAGCTAAAATGGTTTAAAAAACTCCTACCTACAACAAAAGCACTTTATCCAAAAAGCCTAGCAGAAATGAATTGATTTCTTTGAAATGCACCTAAAATTTAAACTTTAAAGTGCAACAGCAAATAAAAGTGAGGTCCTGGATGTTCTTTGAGTAATGTACTCCAAGTATCCTGAAAGGACGAGACAGTTTTTTCCTATTAACTTCAGATGTTTAGTCATTTTGTTTTCTTATAAATTGTTTCTTGCGAGCAAAACTAGAACTTGAAACTCTCTAAGAAATTTAAGACAACTAATGTTAGATCAAACAGATCAACACCACCAAGATATCTCAACACACAGTATCCAAGAAACTCTCTAATACATGAAGCAATGTACCGTGCATAGCAAAATCCTTCCTCGATCAACATTGCACATTATATCAGAGTTTATGGATATCCATCCAATAGAAATTGCACAAGGCCAATAAACACCAAAATATCTATAACCACATCAAGAAGCAAACAAAGTCACCGACTTTTAGCAGCATTCACCCAGAAAATTGAAAATTTGGCAGTCAGTTACCTGAATCCTATTCCGATGAGCGAAATCCGAGACAGCCCGATGCTCCGACAACCCCTGAAGCTCCCTCTGCCTCTCCCGCACAATCCTCATTATCAAATCCAACCTCGCCTGCCGTCCTCTCACCCTCAACAAATCCCTCCTCATACTCTCCTGTTGCTGCCCATCATCATCTCTTCTTCCTCCTCCATTTCCGCCATTTCGAACATCTCTCTGTTGCTGGCTCGCCATTTGCACCCATTCCCTCACCAACCTCACCCGCTCTCTCTCCCTCTCACCGAGCCACTCTGCCCTAGGGCTGCTGCTCTCGCTCCTATTCGAGCCCTCGGTCATCCCTCTCACGATTCTCCTAACCCTCTCCCTCTCCCCCTCCCCCTCCCCGATCTCCGGCGAGTTCTCCCTACTTGAACTCCTCTCATCATAATCACTCTCCAACCCAATCGCATCAGGGCTCCTCCTCCTCTCCAGCTCC